TCTCAAGCAGATGATTAAGGGTTTGATTAATGAATTAATGTGGCAAATTATATATTGAGTGGTAAAATAATGTTATATTTGGTTGTAATTTGCATGCATGTTCTTTAGCTATAATGTTTTGTTTGGCTTGTTTGTTTTGTGAAGATTATGTACATTTTCTTGTTTGGATCATTTTGTGTACTCTTTGTTTTTGTTTCTTCAAGCAAGTGATTAATGGTATTAATCAACTTAATATATATATATATTCAACGAAGAATATATAATATTAGTTTTCTTAACTAACGTATGTAAATATATAATAGATTTTATGATTTAATTTATTGATGATTTAAAGGGTAAGTAATTAATTAAAATATATCTATTAATTACAAATGGTAAGTAATCTTATCTATCAATTACTTTGTCTTGTTGCGATCCAAATGGCAATGAATAATCAGAGAATGAGCTGGCTGCTTGCTCACCTTTACTAATTCGGAGATTCCAAAGCTTTCAAGTTATTAAATGTTTAACATCTTTTCTCTACATTCAGAAAAAAAAAAAAAAAAAAGAAATAACCATGAGCTAGACTTCCAATGGGCAAATTTTCCTTGCAATATTAGAGGTTTTAATGTTACTGAAAGCAGTTTGTGGTCAAGGGCATTTATCTGAATCCTGATCGAGAATTAGTTTCATACCTTCGGGTGTGGGGACTCGAGGTTTTCACCGAAAAAATATATATATATATTCATGATCGGGTATATGTACATAATAAAATCTTCAATATAGTTTGCACACGAGATTGACTAGATATATGTATGTGAGTTGCAATGTTATTGGTCATAAATTTTGTACAAATAATTATTAATTTGGTGTAGTTCCTGTATTTGCTATGGTTAATGAAATGAGATGAATTCACTTAACAAAGACACAATTTATGTTTACATATCTACAATTAAGATATAAAAAAGTCTTGTATACATCATTTATTTTCTTATTATTATTTCTTCAAATTTAACCCGAAATAGCCTCATTTATTTTCTCCATAATAAGGTTAAAATTTTCTTTCTCTGGCAAAGCAGTTGACAGCATTTAATTTTCATTCAAGCATTTAAGGTTACAGAACAGCAATTACAATACATCTCTAAATGGCACTCTATTTATATTTTCTTCCCCTTTCAACACTCATATTAACATTTATCTCTTTAATTATATCCCTCTCTATCAAGGTACACATCTCCCCCTCTCTCTCCCTAAAAGACTCAAGCCTTGAATTATTATTATTATTATTATTATTTTTGTTGCTATTTTGTAGATTGATAATCATCCTCTTCTCTTATGTGTGTGTATATATATATATATATTTTGTGAGTTTAAATTATCAAAAACTACATTGATAGATCTAATTTGTCGTATCTAATGATTTTTGGGTTTAATTAGAATTATTTTCAAATAGACACGTGTTTTTCGTACATCTAAGTAGAATTTCCGTTTATATATATGTATATATGTTCAATTTTATGACATTTTTAGATCTTTGTTATAGTGTTTACCATGATATATAGACCCAAATATAGTTGTATATTAAAAATTGAAAATATCTAGATTTGTTCTTGAAATAGAATTGAAATGATTTTCATTGCTAATTCCTGTATTTAATTAGATTTCGTTCACAATCGAATGTGATATATTTAATTAGATTTCTAATCACTTCATTAATTTGTATATGAAATTCAAATTTCTAATCTCTTGTAACACAAATCGCTCGAAAAATATTTATTCTTCAACCTTAATTCTCATACATTCACCTTTGTTTTTGCAGAAACCCTAATGAGCTCTCCATCATCATCATCAACACAAATGTCTAGCTCAGCCTATTCTATAATTAACCAAACGCAGCCCTCCCTTGGAAGCGTAACCGAGGTCTTCAAGCTGCCATGTGCTGCGCTTTTACAATTGGACTATGACGATGATAAGTCGCTTAGGTTTCTTCGCCATGGCGGGTTTGTTGTCAACCTTATTATGCAATCATCAAGCCCAGTTTTGATGGTGAGTTGCATGGTGGATAAGTTTCAATGGCCGATCACGAAGGATGCTCCGGTTATTAGGATTGGGAAGAGAAGCTTCGCCTTCGCTATGCCGGGGATTTTGTATGGCTTGCAATTTCCTTCATGGTGTGAGGAAGAAATGATGGATACACTGGAAAGGGTTTTCATGAAATTTGCTTGCTACAAAGATCTTAATGAAGGAGAAGCTGGTAATGTTCTAACATGCCTTCAACTTATCATATTTTACTCTATCTTAAAAATTATCAAATGTCAACATTTACGTATTTTTTAAATCTAGATTTTTATTTATTAGCGTCAATAGACAAAATTCAAATGTTTCTGTTTATTCAAGATAAAAAACCGTTGGTTGGCGTTAACAGAGAAACTCTTTTATATATTTTATTGCAATACAACCATTTAATGATGAAAATATGTCACATTAATATGAGTGAAACATACTTACTTCTTTATTGATAGATTGTATCATAACAAGATATACAAAATATTAAAAAAAGAAAAAAAAAAAGGGACATTCTCATTTTAGAAAATTTATAAAGGTGATAATTACTTACTATAAATATTTTGTTTTAACAGGTTATCCTTTTGCTGACACTACACCCAATTTATGGTCTAAAATGCGAACACAAATTGAAAATATTGCCCACAACACCTTAGCTCAGTTCGGCCACAGCCCCGGAAAATCACTGTCCACGGTCGGCAGCCAGGCCTCGGGCTTACTCAGTGCTCTCCGGACCTCAGCATCGACGAAAATGGTGGGCGATGCCATTTTGTCTGGTGCCCTGAAGGCTATGCATATTGAAATTCAAGACTTGAGGCCACAGCAGAAATGCAGTGAGCAAGATAATCAAAGTATTATTTTTCAGCAGGCCTTTCCTTCAATTTGTGTTTTCAGTAATTTAGTTGAAGCTGTGGAGGTGGCTTGGGTGGTTGCAAATGGCGAGTCTCATTTGTTGAAGGAGAAACTGCAAAGGGACGTGAAGGAATTGGTGGGGTTCAAGATTTGGAGATTGAATGAAAAGGGTTTGGTTTCTTTCATGGAAAAATTAGCGTAAACTCATTTGCTTTTAGTTCTCCTTAGCATTTAAAGATCTTGGTCGGTCTAGTGTCCTGATGTTCGTGAAAAAATTAATAGGTGAATGAGTATTTATAAACTCATTTTGTTCACTAATTTATAAAGGTAATATGTATTAAGATTTTCTTCCATTTTTGGTCTTAATTATTAAATTGTTAATTATCATGGTCGTTAAAAAAAAAAAAAAAAAAAAACATAACAAGAAATCGTCGACAGCAGGGTTCGAACCTGCGCGGGCGAAGCCCAACAGATTTCAAGTCTGTCTCCTTAACCACTCGGACATATCGACTTTGGTGATGGAAGGCTCTGATATATTAATATTAATCTTAGTAAAGTTCTGAGTTAATTGAACTTAAACTAATTCAATTCTATATGCATTTTCACTTTAATCCAACCACAATTAAATATTTTTACTCTCCAATTTCACTATAAAATGTTGGTTTCTATATTTTTTTTTTAAGCTGCATTGTGACATGTCTTTGATAAAGTTCTATGTTTAAAGTTGAGTTCTTATTATTCGCACTCTTGAGAGAAGATGAAATATAAAGCTCCCATGACTTCTGAAAAACCATTACGCTTCCTCCTATTAGAGGTTTTGTTTTATACTTTTTTAATGGCGTAAATGATAATTTTAAGGGGATAAATGATAATTTGGGGAAGTACACAAAACGTTGATTGTGTTTCGTAATTCCTAATCTTTAACGTGCATGGTTAGTTGGTATGAAAAAACTTTTATTTTATATATATTCTTATACTTTGAACAATTGCATTTTGAACTGTTGAAATTCAATCTAACTTTTTTTTTTTTTTTTGGTAGGTAAGTTTTCATTAGAAAAGAGAAAAAGAATCTACAAAAATCCTATAAAAGACGATCAACTTATCTTAGAACAATCCCTAAGTTAGGACCAAAAAAAAAAAAAAAAAGTATTTACAAAACTATATAAATATATATAAAAAATAAAAAACTTTTCTTACCTCGAGACATGATCTAGGTTAGAATCAAAATTAAAAGAGCCAAAAGACAATGCTCAAATAGGCAACAAAAACCCAACAACTACCTCCCCTCGAACCGAAAAAGGCAAAGACTCCGCATGCAACGCGAAAAGCCCAAGGCATCAAACAAATGTTTTTTAATTAAATTCTTTTTTTTTTTTTATGCCTTGGGCTGTGTGTTTTTGTACTCCATCGCGATCTTGTTTTTCTTGTTTTCGTAACATATGCACATTAAGTCATGTAACATGTGCTTCATGTATATAAATATTATGTTGTAAGCAACTTTTACGTTTTAATTAATAAAATTTATTCTTGAGTGATGTGATGATTGTACTTAACAAATTATTTTAAATAAATTATAGATTCTTCTGACAACCAATGAAAATATTAATAAATTTACTTTAAAAGTTATTTTTATTAATCTTAATTTCTAACAAGTCAATATTTTGTTTAAAGCACAAATTTAACCATAAAATCATAAGGCTTAACTTAATTGGAATGTAGTACACTATGCCTAGTTTATGATTATTTAGCATGGTCTAAAATACTTTAATTAGACTGTTAAACTGGATAGTTTAATATAATCTAATGTTATATATCAAGAGTAAATTTTGTAAGAAGGTATGTCACCGGATTTTACGACTAAATATACTCTTATATGGACTGTATATACATAAAAAAATTCCTACATTTTTTAAGAATCTAGACCTTCAACTCTCGAGTTAAGAAATTTATCCCAACTATATTTCGTTACTGTTTCGATTTTTAACGTGTCCATTCAATAAAAGTCTTATTAGCATGTATTTTCCTAAAAATAGAATAAGCATGTGGAGGATACCTCTCTTTTAACATCTTCCTTTAAGCTTTATATAAGGCAGGAAGTCGAAACTCACCCTCATCATTTTCTTGAAAATAAAGAATAAAACCTTCATCTTGAGTACTCTTGAAACAAGCTGCTCATTTCAATGGAAGATCAAAGGCAAATCGTACTGATCACCGGCTGTTCTCAGGGCGGAATCGGCCATGCGTTGGCTCGTGAATTTGCCTCAAAAGGATGCCTGGTTGTGGCCACCAGTAGGTCAAAGAAAACCATGCAAGATCTTGAACAAGATCCCTCGAGATTTTATGTCCTGGAACTTGACGTTGTTTCGGAAGAAAGTGTGAAGAATGTTGTGGAAAATGTTATTGGAAAATTTGGAAGAATTGATATTCTGGTTAACAATGCTGGAGTTCAATGTGTTGGCCCTCTCGCTGAAGTTCCATTATCCTCCGTGCAGAATACTTTCAACACCAATGTTTTTGGTAAGTATAATGTTATTATTGTTTTATTATTCTTTGAATTGGGTTGCTCGTTAAATATCATAGTTTTCTATTATATTTGTGGGTATTTTTTTTGTTATCTTATTTTAATGTGTTTGTAGAGTTTAGATGTTGATAAAATGATCTTTGACTTGATTGGTTTCACTGTTGGGTTTGTGGTTAGTAATTTGCAGTAAATAAATTTGAATTTGGTTTTCCCTATCTGATAGTTGATGTCTTTTGATAAAAAAATTAGGTCCCTTGAGGATGATACAAGCTGTTGTGCCTCATATGGCAGCCAGGAGAAAAGGAAAGATTATAAATATGGGAAGTATTGGGACTGCATTCCCTGCTCCTTGGGCTGCTACTTACACTGCAACCAAATCTACCATTCACTCATTAACTGATACCTTAAGGTATGATAATAAATTTTATTGGACATACATACAAATAACTTGAGAATTAAAATTGTTGACCTATGATAAGGCTTCTTATGAATGCAGATTGGAACTGAGTCATTTTGGGATTCATGTCACCCTCGTTGTCCCCGGGGCGATTAAGTCAAACATAGCAAACTCTGCCGTCGCCAGCTACCGAGGCATGCCGGAATGGAAACTATACAAGCCATTTGAAGACATTATTAAGGAGAGAGCATATCTTTCACAAACACCAAATTCAACCCCGGCTGAAGTGTTTGCAAGGGACACTGTGGCTGTTCTGTTGAAGGAAAAGCCCCCAGCTTGGTTCACCACAGGCCAATTCTCCACCATCATGGCAATTATGTACCACATGCCCAATTTTATTAAAGATTTTGTTGCAAGGAGAACAATGAAATGTTGATGAGAGTCTATAAAAGTGTGAGACATTTGGGCTTCAAATTGAAGCTTCAGGTTCTTTCAAAACCTCAAGTCAACATACTATGGTTTTTATCTATTTTTTATTTTCCTGGGAAAAAAATGCTTTTCTTTGAGAAAGTTCTGGTGTGTAAAGTCGATGGTTGATTAGTTAACTGTTAAGTATTAACATTGATTCTCATACTTTTTACACAAATTCTAAGTTATTTGATTAACGCATATACACCTTGGGGCGAAACCAGAAATTTATTTTTCAAAATAATATATATATTTATATTGACAAATCTCAATGAAAAGAGAATTATTAATAGGAAAAATTAATGGTAGCTTAGTTAGGAAGACATAATGAGACGTATATGAAAATTTTATTTTATTTTCACATAAAAAAGAAAATTTAGTTATGATTAAAAAGTACACAAGAATGTCTTACTAATAATAAGAACATGAAATTTCTTTTAATTAAGATTGATGGAATAAAAGAATTTTTTTTTTTAATAAGTATTGATATACAAATTGTGATTGTCTTGTTAAATTTATAAATTTTATTTGATATAGAATGATGAGAAATAACATATATTTTTTAAAAATAATATTAATATTGAATAATTTCTTTTAATTGTTTGAAAATTATATATCATATTTCATAATTTATTCATTGTTCTGAAAACGGTTCAGTTTGGCTGTTCGGACTGAGAGCCAGCCACAAAACCAGTCTGCTTATAATTAAAAACTGTTTTACCCTTTGGATCGTGTTGGACCGGCCTAAAGCCCGTCGGTTCGCAGCTCAACTAATGGTTCACTAAAAACCAAATTAACACACAGTCGCCTCCAAATTTCTAGTGACTTTCTTCCTTCTTCAATCCTAACTTTCACTTCAGAGTTCACATTGTTCTTCACGTCACTTCAGTCTTCAATCACAGTCGCCTGCATTCTGCTTCCCTCCGGCGGCTTCATTCACAAGTCGCACTCACTTTTCACTCCAACAGCCTTTACTTCCCACCTGACACCATTATCAGCATCGCCTTCATACACAACATCAAAAGCCCCATCATCCCGAATTTTGGTTGGTCGCAGATCATTGTCGCCACCACCGTTTGCGCGACGCTTAGATTATAGGTTTTTTTTTTTTTTTTTTTTAATTGGATTTCAAACTTGTAGGGCTGAATAGTAACTTATTAGGGGCGTTTTTGCTGGATTTCAAACCTATATGGAGAATGAGTTGTTTTGCAAGGGATTGTTGTTGGATTTTATTAGACTTGTTGGATATGTTGACATCACTGGTCGGGAACGGGGCCCTTGACTGGGTCAAGGTCAGTCTTAAGTTTTCAGAACATTGAATTTATTAAGAGAAACATTAAGAGCCCAAATGCAAAACCCAATTGTACCATATTTTATCCGGCTGAAAGACTTACACATAAAAAGTTTGCCTAAACGATAAGTTGATACTCAAAGGTTTTGAAATAATAAATAGATACTTCTATCATATACTGTTAGTAATTTTCCTTTGAAATTATAAAAAGACTAAAAACCGTTGAAAGTTTAATATTTTAGATTTTTATAAATTAAAAATTTTTAAAAACACCACAGGTTTACTAATTTGACTAAATACCCCATTATAAAATTTTTATAAAATAACAAAAACACCCCTACCACCTGCAGTGCCAGATTCTGACCATCACGTTGGAATTGGCCGAAAATTGTGTTACAACACAGACCTGTCGGATCTGTGTCATAACGCGTCGATCTAGCCTTTTCTGGCCAGATCCGCAAGATCGACGTGTTACGACACAGATCCGATGGGTCTGTGTCGTAACGCGATTTCCCGGCCAGATTCCGACCTCGACGGCCAGATCTGGCCGTAGATCTAGCATTTTCTGGTCAGATCAGCCATAGATCTTATCGAAAAATGCCAGATATACGTGTTACGACACAGATCCGATGGGTCTATATCGTAACGCAATTTTCTGACCATATTTCGACTGTGGTGGCCAGAATTGGCACTGCGGGTGACGGGGTGTGTTTTGTTCTTTTATAAATTTTTATATATTGGGGTATTAGTCAAATTATCAAACCTAGGGGGTTTTTTAAATTTTTAAATTTATAAAAACTAAAATATTAAACTTTCAATGGCATTTTAGTATTTTCACTATTATCAAACGAAAATATTGACAGAACTGACGGAAGGTACCTATTTATCGTTTCAAAACCTTAGGTACTAACTTACGTTTCGACAAACCTTGGGTATGCGTAAGTCGTTCGGCCTATTTTATCCTAATCAATTTATCCACAAATTTACTACAACTCATCCTATTCCATTTTTTTTCCCCCCAAAAGCCAACAATGTGGTTCCGCCCATGTTTACACCATTTAAGGCTTTAACACATCCTTACATGTATATTTTTATAAGTAGTTTTCAAGCTCAATTAATAAATTATTTAAAGTAAATTATTAAAGTATTCTCTGGAGTTGACAGATAAAACCTATTGCGCTGAATATCATGAAACAACCAACAAATGAATGTGACGATACAAAATAATTTATATAAACATGTATGACAATCTTGCATACATGGTGGAGCCACTATACGCCCAGGAGGGGCCTATGCCCTTCCTCAACTTTAAAATTTCTTTATGTTTTTCATGTATTTTATTTTTTAGAGGTCTCTCACAACAATACAAATACATGTACCAAAATTATTCATTTATTTAGTTCTTTACCTTTCTAATTTGTGTGCATTTAAAAAAGTAATTAAAGTCATATGAAATTATGATTGAGATTTAAGCTATATTATGTGAAAAAAGAAAAATTCATAAAAAATAAACTTTATAATTATCTTATAAACTTGGTTTTATATGAATATAACAATTTCTCATTTTTTTTTTTATCAAATGAAGTATACGTTAATATAAGTGTTAAAATATTATGATTAGAATGTCTTATATAATAATAATCATTTTTAATCATGATGTATTTAAATTTTTAACCTAGTCTAATTTCCATATGTTTTTAAAATGACACTATGTTTTAACGAAATACATAGATATGAATTGGCAATTTTTATTTTTATTTTTAAATTTTTTTCGCCCCTCCTGAAATAATTTTTACCTCCGCCACTACTTGCATACTTTGTTACACCATCCACTTTAATTGCTTTATTATTTAATTTTAAGTTGTCTATGCTAGTTTTATTTGTATTTAATTTAAAGTTATCTGTGTTAAGTTTTATTGATATTAATACATTAATTGGCTTTATCTATATTTAATTTTAAGGTAGGTGAGGGCTCGACAGTTATTAGTCCAATAAATCCCTCACATTGAATATATATATATAATTTCTTATCTAGTTTGTATGGGGATAAAAAATTTGAAATCTTTGATTTTGATATATGTTAGTTGTCATCTCGCTGAAAGCTAAACTAGGAGGCAAGGACTCAACATATATTAGATCAATAATATAACATATTAAAACAACATAAATTTGTATAAATTGATTTGTAAACTTTTGAGTTGTTTTTTCATATATGAAATTTCGGTTCCTAATAATAATAATAATAATAAAGTAATAATACACATAAAAACTATTAGTAATCCTGTATATTTGATATGCTATCTCCTTAATTTAAACTATAATTACAACTTTCTCGTATTAATATCTTGATTATAAACTTCTTAAACCATTTTTAAGTTATACGTGATAATGTATTAAATGCATTTACACCGTTTAAGGCTTTAACACGTGCTCACATGCATATAAATGTTATAAGTTCAGTTAATAAATAACACAATCTTTAAGTTATATGTGATTAATGTATTAAAGCATTTAAGGCGTTAACAATGCATACAAAATTTTAAGTCATCTCATCGTATTTGAAAACATTATTTGTATGAATAATTTGTAGACCGTTTAAATTGTTTTTCATATTTGAACTTTCGATTCCTAATAAAAAAAAGTAATGTTACATATAAAAAACATCGATATAAACTATTTCATACAATCTGATATGACAATCTTATACATTTGATATACCATTTCCTTTAATTAAACTATTAATTTCAACTTTCTTTGTGATTAATTACATTCTGTTAGTTGTATGTCTATTAATAAACACTTTATTACCAATATGTTCATGAAAATAACATAAACTAGGAGGGTGGGCACACCTTCAATGGCACGGTATTTCAAATAAAATAAACCTGTAGGGCACACCTTCAATGGCACAATATTTAAATCTGACACTCGAAACTCATCTTCATCGATCATTTCTAAATATAAAGAGAAAATCTCATTTTAATGGAAGATCAGAAGCCAATTGTGTTGATCACAGGTGTTCTCAGAGAGGAATCCGCCCTGAGAATGCAGCCTTTAGAAGCGTTGGCCCTCCAGCTTGTTCACCAAAATATCAATTCTTCCAAACTTTTCAATAACATTGCCACAACATTCTCCACACTTTCTCTGAAGTTTGGAAGAATTGATATTTTGGTAAACAACCCTGGAGTCCTTTGCATTGGCCCTCTGCTGAGCTTCATTATCAGCTATCCAGAATGCATTCGACGTCAACGTTTTGGTGCTTATAATATATGATTTCTTTGAATTTTATGTTCATTATCTATATTTGTGAGTTTATTGGGGTTTTACTTCGCGATCTTCTACACGACTTTCCTTCCACAGGTCATCCGTTTGCAATGAGGGCTCTCCCGCATGGTGCCTATATATGTTGAGATCACTATGATATCACTATAAAATAGATTTCAACTTTGAAAATCAATCACTATACTGTTTTTACTATAACGGGATTCGTCATATGATAGAGAAATCAAACCACAGGAAAATGTGTCTATGCTTATAATTGATAATTGATACCATGATCAGAGGTCTGTGATTGTGAGAGAGATTGGAAAAATGGAATTGGGTGTTTAGTTAATTGAATTTGGGTTTTAATTTTTTTAAAATAAAATGCGGGTACCCACGGGCATTACTCGGCCCACCCACATTTTTTACGGACGGTCAGGTGCGGGTAATATTTATACGGGTAAATTAGAGGTACTCGTACCCGCCGTTTAATGCAGATGGGTACATTT